AAAAAAAAAAATGAATGACGGCGGGATCGAACCCGGGCCGTCGGCGTGATAGGCAAGCACGTTACCGCTAGGATAACGCACCATTACAATAAAATAATTTCGTTAGGAGTATATATTTTGCAAAAGTATCGTTTTAAAAAATTGTTAATTTATTAAATTCACAGGATATCTTTCCGCTTTTCAAAAATTCAGTGTTTAAACGATATTTAGATTGATTAGCCAATTAAAAAAAGAAAAAATTGTAATTATTTTAAAAAAAAAATGAATTTTGGCAGGATCGAACCCCAGCCGTCGGCATGCTAGCCGAGCACGTTACCGATAGGACAACGCGCTCTTTGTAATAATCTGTTTCAATAGGAGTATATCTTCTACATATTGAATAATTTTTTTCATTAAAAATTCCACAAAATGTGGCTTCCCCCTTCCACTCGTTCTACAGGCGGCTAAATTCCAGTTAAACAAACAAAAAACAAAAAGCATTCATGCCGCAGAAAATAAAATTCACCCCGTCGACTTGATGGACACCCCAGCATTGCGTGGGACGCCCTCCCTCTCTTGGGGTGCAGTACTACGATGCCGCTGGGGTCACTCAAATCCCCAGAACTGAGCCTCTACTTTAGTCAATTCTCTTTGCTCTGTTGTATGATGGCCAGCATTTGAAAAAGGGACTTTGTCGTGTGTGTGTGTTTAAATAATTTTGGGGATGGCAGACGAGGATATTAATGGAGATTCTGATGAGGTGCAGCAGGAGAAATCACAGAAAAAAGCTGCCAAGTATGATAGTGGAGCTGCTGACCTCGAGAGAGTGACGGATTATGCAGAGGAAAAGGAGATATCCTCGTCTGATGGATTCTCCAATGTGAGTAATAATTCGTTTGATCCACGTGTTCTACTCTGAACTGAATAAATACACGAATTTTACTCCACTCGCTACATCAACTTTTTTATCGGAGGAATAGAGCTGTGAAGGAATAATGCAAAACATTTTTTTTTAAACATAACCTCAATATTTCGTCTGGTTGATTCTCATTCAGGCACTTAGCATAATTGGAGATCGGCGGAATAAGGAAGCAGCTGAAAAAAAGGCCAAGGAGAAGGAGTTATTGAAAGTTTCTATTAAAAAGGAAGACGTTGATCTCATTGTGAGTTCTACATCAGAATTTGAATTAGTGGATACATTAATTCAATCAGGTTGAATAAATATGTATCTTTTAAAATTTGCAGATGGGAGAGATGGAAATAAATAGGAATCTAGCTGAAAGAACTCTCAGGGAACACAGGGGTGATGTTGTTCAGGCCCTTATAACATTAACCAATTGATAAGAATCGCCACAACTCGCAGTAATTCATTTAATTGAATAAATAAACTCTCTACTTTGTTAAGAATCAAAAGTGAGCCAACAACTCGAGGACGCAAATTCCAGATGTGAATATTTATTAATAATAACGAGGTACACATCAGACACGTTTGATTTATTGAATTGATTACCCGTTATATGATATCTGAGGTTTTTTGGTCAAACTTACCATGATGATTTGCTCTTATTGTTCTTCAGCTGCTATCAAAAGAAAATATAGTGGAGCAATTAAAATAAAGAGGTGGGTTGAATGATTAAATTACGTTCGTTCTCCGAAAATTTATATAATGAAAATGTAATTTTATTTGATGCGGTGCAATGACGTAAAATAAATGGAAAAATGAACGTTGTATGAGCTGGGATTCAATGAACAGCTGAGATGCAAAATCATTAGCAATTGCCACTGATGATATTTCTGACGTCACAAAAATAATAAACAAAAATCCGGAAAATAATGAAAAGGAACAAGTTTTATATTTACCTAAATGCATAAACTGGAAGGTGTAACGAAATAAAAAATGATAACCAGTGGCAACAACTGTCTTGCTAAAACGCTGATTTTTATGATGAGGTAACACTTGTCTTACATGTACTTATAGTTTATCAATTTATCCAGTCATACGCTCATATATTCTTGCTGCAGTTTTCAATTCTTCATTTTTTTTCTCTCCTGGACTACAATTTTACACAATTCTGTTCGTTCAATTAATTAGCCCATTTTTCTCAGAAAAACGAAAAAGGCAAACAAATCGACTATTACAAATTTTCGTTTACAATTAATTTTCTTACTTCGGCATTTCACATTGTCCGTCAGTCCCAAAGTGACACTTTTGACAGCACGAGAATTAATGAAAAATTAACAATTCGGCGGCAAAAAAAGTGAAACACCAATCCAACAGCTTTGTGAATTGTTAATCAATTTGAGAACAATATCACGGTTTCACTCGCTTCGCCGCTGAATTATCCACGTAATGTCGAATTTTTAGGGACATTTTCACAGTCTACAAAAAAAAAATGAAATAAAAAGAGAAAAACGACGAAAAAAAAAACTGATCAGTGTCAATAATTCCTACGCTACAGCTCATAATAATAGTACTGTTTTGACCATTATAAAATAGATAGGAGATATGTACAATAAGCCTAACTTCGAGTGTGCTTAAAACGTGTTTTTGCTTAATTCTTTCCGAAGACAGGGGAGGGTCTTTGGGACCGGCCGAAGATTCAATAATTAATTAAACGGGATTAATCGACACATCTGGGGGATCATTGCATAGTAACTTTTTGCCTGGGTAGGAAAATGGGAGTTACAATCGGACTTATCACAGAATGTATGGCATTAATCTTCGTCATTTATTAATATTATGGTATAGGGGTGTTTTTTTGTTTTTCTTTTTTCGTTCAATGAAATTGATAAAACTAGGTTCGGGAAGCCAGCATAGTACTAAAACGACAATTATTGTTTTTATATGATTTTTCAAATCTTTGTTTCTGGATTTTTGTCTCTCTTGGTTGCCCATAATTCAGTTATTCACGACATACAACTGATTTACTTAATCCTCATTTTTTTTCCTTCCTGCGACTCGAGATTTAGTTACACAAAAACGATTAGTAGTTTGGACTATAATTGACTAACGTTTATTTATACAATTCATTTAAATTTTCTCATTTCCATCATTCCGTTGTCAATTTTCCATCCTTCAATAATTTCTGATTTGCCTCGAAACCAAAAAAATAAATTGCTGAGAAAAATATTATTCACACACATTATGGACAACCCTGAATTTCCTCGACGTGGAATCAAATAAACTCAACGAATAATAGATCGAATCACTTCAATTGACTACGCAATAGCCACCAAAAAAATTAACTCGAGAGAAGAGAATGCCAATGGGAAATGACATAAACAGTGTCACTGATGTTAAATTTCTCCTCTCTCTAGGATTGTTAGTAAACAAATCTCGATGTGACACAATTCAATGGGACTGCAGACACAGAAAAAAAAAAATATACAAAAATACGGAGCAGAGTGGGCCTGGGGTAAATGGGCACAGATTGCGTAGTACTTTAATAATAATCATAGTAATAGTCATATTAAGAGAAAGAGATCATAAAAAACACTAACTAGAATCATTTCCCCTTTCTTTCTGGAAGAGTTTTGAACTTCTCATTCATCATTTTTATAATTAAAAATCACTATTAATGAATAAACAAAGTGTCCCCCTCGAAACAACCACCCAAAATCAAACAATGATGATTTGTATCCAATAAGTTCTAAAATTAATCTTCCTCTATGACGTGAGGGCAGAGAGGGGCCAGACACAATTTGATCCATGACAGAGGAACCAAAGTGTTATCATCGTCGAGAGCCCGACGCCTTTATCACAACTTCTTGTGTGTCGGTACGTGGCAACATGGCGAAGTACATCATCTCTATCCACCCTTGAGCTTTCCCAAAACCCTACAGATGTGCTCCAATTTTTCTACAAGTCACGTCAGAATCCAAATTGTCTTTTCCACCATTTACCTGTCCAGTCTTTCAACTTATTTTTCTTCCTCTTCCATCTTGACATCTCCTTTACTCTCCGTTGCAATTCCGTATTTTTGAAATCACGTTTACTGGAGTGGAATGAAACACATCCGAAGAATTAGGAGCAAAGGGCGGAGACGATAGTTTTTTGCTTCTATTTATTTTTCTGGAAATGGAGAAGAGAGGGTGGGAGGGGCGTTGCATCTCTGAGAGGTGGGCGAGCGTGGTGGGTTCATTCTTTTACTGTATATCTGGGGCTTCTATGTCTCGTGGCATTTCGTTGCACGGAGTCTTTGTTATTTACTTAGTTTTTTTTTCTCAACTTTTTTTTTGACACACTACCGACACTCACTGAACACAAGAGTCTGGCGTGGGTTCGCCTATCTCAGCATCTGCATCATTTTGTTACTTTGTTTTCATATTTACGGTCTCTTCATCATATTCTTCTTCTTCTTCTTCTTCTTCTTTTTTTTTATATTTTTTCATGATTTTTCATATATTTTTAGTTGGGCATGTTGAACTTTCGGACAACGAAAGGGCGCACTAGGGAACATTGATTTAGCACTACTCTCAGGATTCGTCACTGTACAGAAAAAAGAGAGTTCATGAGGGATGTAGGTGGGGCGGTGATGACACTGTTGTCGTGCCCGGAATTAGAGGTGACTGCTTTCAGCTCTGCTTAACTCGCTTTCGCGGTGGTCCAATTGGTGGCATTTGTTGTGTTGCTAGTGCGCGAAATGCTTCCGCAATTAGGTGGGGATGAGAGTTCACCATGGATTTAAAACCAGTGGTATCCATCACGTCTGTTGCGTGTGTATTGATAAAATCTATGGCCTGCGCCTTGAGTTGATCGGCACTGTGAAGATCGGCAAGAATGAGAATGTCAGCAGCATTTTCAATGGCTAAACTCGTACATAATGCCTCCTCGCACATTACTTTGAGCCTCTCAAGTGCGTATTTGTCAGCAGCAGCCAACAGATCGTCCGCCATTTTTCCAAGATTATCCGATTTGCCCGTGTAGATAAATCGGAGCATTTCCCTCAGTACCTCGTGATCCACATCAGTTATATCGACTCGATTCTGCTTGCGCTCCTCCATTTCGTGCTCGAACATTGCAGAAAATACAGGACTGCGCGCTAATAACACCAGAAATATCGATATTAATATCTCTCTTGGGAAATTCTCCCGCCAGCATGAGAGATTGAGAAGAAAAAAAAGTGTGTGAGAAAATATAAACCTGCTAGAATCGCTTTGTGCGCTTGGAACTCCCTCCCACAGACAGTCAGTGTGACATCACTGAACTTTTGACTCTCAAATAGCGAGCCAAGATCCTCAGGTAGCCTGCATTCAGGCACTTTGAACTGTATCGTATTACTTTGTCCAGAGAGATTGACACTATCTGCCACCACACTCACCTGAATAATCAAAAAGGATCGTGCAAGTTAGTACAAACATTATCGTCTGTACGATATTAATATAGCAACAAGTAACATACAAAGGTATATACCTCACAGAATATCGTGAGTTTGTCGTCTGGTAATAATCCATTGGCCTCATCGAGCAAGAAGTCTCTCCTTATGAATTTTTTGAAGCCCCAGTCTTTACCCTGGACAAACCTGTAGGCCCGTTGGCTCTCTGGAATGGAAATTAACAATTCTTCCACTTTATAATTCCCCTCAAATCATCAAATAAAATATTATTACTCTGCAATCAATGACAATTTGACATTCAAATTTTATTCACTCACCCATAGCTTTGGTTTCTTCTCTTTTGGCATTAAGAATTGAAAATTTGAACTTTGCTCTAACTTCCGACTTATTGCATGACACAAGTAGCAGATATAATGATAAATAGTCCTTGCTCTCTTCGTCCAGGCCCTTTGGATTGACCCTCAAACACCTGTCAACAAAATATCATGAGAAAATTAAAAAATTCAATTGTCAATTGTCCCAGAGTGACGGAAAATCAATTTGTCGTCCATTACACTCTGTTCTCTAGATTTTGAATTTTAAACGTCGATTGAAAATGTCAGAATAACGTTGAAATTCATCGATTGGAGGCACGAGTTGGATTTAGTATCACTCAACGGTCGTGCACAATAGCTGATATTTTATAATTCCCATAAATTTGCATTAACGGTCATTGAAATTGAATAATACTGGTGCAATCGTCAATCATGGTCATATTCGCCTTTATCGCTAATGATTGATTCTGTTGACTCTTTCATTGACTTCACACGCTTTTTGTAAGTTATTCAAACAAGTAGAACTCACCATTTGAGTTTATCGTTGGCCCCCGCTGAGAATGTCGACGACTTCAACACTTCTCCCATTTCCTCACGGCAGAAGCTGAAGTTATTTATCGTCCACATGTAGCTGAATTTAACCACCTTCACCTGTACACACAAAACCTTCAAATGCAATAACCAACGTCAGAGTTTTATCTCACTCTGGAGGACAAATGTAACATAACAATCCGCATACGAGTTTCAACAGTCATTGAATGCAAGTATTTATTAATGTTTCTCATTGAGAAATTGGGTGAATGAATTTTTCAGCGTAGTATTGGAATAAAAAATTTTTTCGGCGATACATATTGGCCCGTGTAAATTCTTATCACTTGAATAATCAGTCTCTCATATACGTCGCAATAAAATCTCTTGCTGAAAACGAAAATGCAAAAGGACAAGCGCGTTAAGAATACTCAGATATTTACAATAAAACGTGTACGTCTCCCACTTTGCCACCCACCCTCAGGGTTGAATGACGTTGTCCAACAATTTCACGGTCGACTATCGTAGCAGTAGAAAAAAGAAATATAAATGAGTGACACACGTACAGTGCAAACACTCTTTAAAAAAGTATTTTCCACGTGCCGAAGTCAGGGACATTGGAATCAGTGTCTTTTACGTAAGCACTTGGGATACTTGGACAACGTGATACGGCTGTAACGGTATATCGTTGACATTCCAACGATAACAATGAGCATAATCATTGGTATTTACCCTCGGAATTAATTTATCATGACCGTTCTCGAGACGGTTCAGTCATTTTTCGCCACAATTTTCGGGGGTTTTTATATTTATCTCTCTGTGAAGTCGATTGTCTCTGGGCAATGAGAAGAGGCAAATGAGATGATGCTAAGTGAAGGAGGGGGCTAAGCCACACACCCCCCCTCTCAAAGTCAATGATCTCTGGTGTAGTGGCCTTGGCGAACGGGCCTGACTCGAGAGCCAAATCTATTGCTAATTTTTTTTTTTTTTTATAATCTGTCACCGTTGCCCCGGGTCGAACGGAGGTGGCCGGAGGTGGCCAGAGGTGGTCGGAGATGGCCGCTGGGAACCTTGATGGGCCAATGACCTCTCAGTTATCATTGGAGTCATTGCGCGATAGCCTCAATCAAAACTTACGGAAATAATGGCGAGACGCATCGATCGTTACCACTGTGTAAAGAGCCTTGAAAACATGGTTTTCCGTGTGGTGGGACTTGGCTTCGGGGAAATGGCGTGTTACAGGTGAGCGCACGTCGGAAGGGAACGCAGGAATTCATGCGGTCGACGCCCCCTCAGCCCATGTGGATGAGGCCAAGTACTTGGATAATTACTCGATTTTCGGCAAATTTCTTAATTTTATCTCCACTATTTTCTGATTAAACTGATAAAAATTCCGAGAGTTTCTTATCAGCGAAAAATGAACGAGCTGATAAAATTCGCAGAAGTAATCTCGCAACATTTGGGGCAGGTCGTTGACCCCCAGCAATTGTTCCAGAACTCGAAATTAATTAAACAGTTATTCAGTTGCATCAAACAACGAGAAACCTGAATGGATGGCCCCATAAAATCAGTAATACGAAGTAGAAGAAACTGGAGTTGAAGAGTCGTTGGTGCATTACGTAGCCAGGGGTCAGCGACCCCCCCTCTCTCGCGTTCTCCGGTGGGCGAGAAATTGGACTAGAATGATTTGGTGATTTACGGATAAATATACAGGTGAACCAGGAGAGGAGAGAGGATAAAGAGAGAGGGAGAGGGGTCGACGGCCCGCGGGTGTCGTTCAACTCTGCCTCCGTCACCGGCGCTCGCGCCAATCGGCCTTGAATCATCCTCCCGTCGATGGTGGATGCGAGTCTACGGACGTGACGCGCACGGGGGGGATTCAACCACCAGACACGCTCGTTACTTCCGCTTACCAAAGAATTTCCAACTGTCCGATACTTCACGGAGAATTATTCAACGGGCTCACTCCGTCTTTTTATTCAGCGTTTCATCTTATTTTTAATTTTTTCTTTCATTTCCACCAAATGGTGTCACTAAATGCGCGGAGGGATCTAGTTGCAGGTCATTCACTTGGTGAGCGAGCCAATTTAAAAATAGATGTACGCACTCGACGTGTTTATACGCGGGAAGAGATTCATCCGAAAATACGAAACGGTGCGGGTGCTCATTTCATTTGGACCCGTTGATTATTTTAATGAGAATGATAATTACCTGTGTGTAACACCAATTTTCGGCAACTGGAGTGTTGACTTCGGGTGGCGGAGGGCTGGGGACCCGGCTCACCGCCATACTACTGCTGCTGTGCAAGTTTGAGCTGACCCGCGACGTCTGAGGCGCACAGTCGCTCACCGCAAGTCTGTAATAACAAAAAATCAACAAGCTATTACTCCAATAATTTCCTAATCATAACTCCCTACTCATCCTTACAATATTTACAGCGTAATAAAACTAATGGTGGAATTAATATAATCGGGTGGATTTTTTGGGTCGAGAGCTCGAGGGGTCATCGACTGATTGATGAAAAATAATGGGGAGAGAGAGAGAGAAAAACGGTGAGTAAAGAAGGGAATGCAGGGCACGCGATGGTGTTCACGTGCAGCCAAGTACGGTACTACGTACTACCGTGTAGGTTAAATCACCCATCATCAAACATCAGCTCGACGCATTACAGTATTTATTATTTTTCATTATTCTTTTCACATATCGAATTAATTGTGTGATCAAGTTACAGTGTTATTTCTCAACAATCAGACTAAATCAAATAAAACATTGAAAACTTCTTCTCTCAACTCGGAGCGATAACAACGAGGCATTAAAATTCATTACGAAAGCCTTCATAAATCAAAATAATAGCTCTCAACATGAGTAAATGTGAATAATGAAACGAGATATTCGATTGAATCGATTGGAATGAATAATTGAAGAAATTGTAGAGAGAGGGATGAAATTGTGGGTAACTACAACTTTCTCGCAACTCTGTCATTACTTTTATCTGAATTTCTCGGGTGAAAGTGAAAGGGGTGGAATACGGAATATGAAAAAAAAAAAAAAAGGAATTGTCGAGGGGAGATGGGGCTGTCCTCACGTGTCTTGGGTCGCTTGCACGCAAAGTTTTTGCCCGTCGGAAACTACTTCGAGTGTCATGGAGAGTGCATTAGCCTCGCAGGTTCATCGGACCTACCGGTGGGATACCTTTTTAGTTGTTGCACATGTGTTGGTGCATGTACCCACTCAGGCCATTGCCTTTACCCGCGCATTCCCTTTATTTCCGCACTTAGTAAGCCCTTCTTACTCATTCTATTTGAATTTTTCACGCCTAAGTGGAAAATAAACACGTGATAGCCTCTGGCTTTTCACATTCTTCAAGGATGACGTTGAAATTAATGCAAAGAAAGAGATATTTGTAAAACACGAATTACGCAATGGAAATAATGTATGTAAGCACAGGAATGTCAGTAAAAAAAAATTGCTCAGTATTTGTTTACTTTGATTTTAAAGTAAAGAATTTGTAAAATAAAATGATTTTTCATAGAAAACTCCAACTTTCACCTACGTTACTAGAAAGTGCCTAATACCCTTGTTTTCTTGAGAAAATTCAGACAATTAGAAAAGAAAAAGGGAGAGGGGGCAAAAAATCAAATGGAGATAGTTGCACCTGAACGACCGAGATTGATCGGCATTAATTAATAATGAAGAAAAGAAAAAAAAAAGGTGAAAAATGACGGGTTGAATGAGTGCGGAGGCGGTTTCAACTGAGTTCGGAGTTGTCCAAGGGAAAGTAGAACGGGTGAAAACGAGGAAGTCGAGTGAAAACTGCCTATAGAGCGCTTTGGAAATGCTCGTAATTATAGTGGCAGTTGAGAGCCGTGGCTCTTGCCAAATCAACCCCAGGAATAAATACATTTCTGTGCCACTTTACTCTCCGACGCATCCCAAGCGCCACATTAATTGTTTCATTTTATCCAACACGACCAATCAATTTTCTCCACCTCCCGTGGGAAATTATTAATCCAACTCAATTGAATCGGAGATAATCGAATCAAGCCCAATAACATTTTTTTCTCTTGCTTAATCTGCAATGAATTCTGCCTGGCTAATGGCATAATTAAGGTCAGATTTTAATCAATGTAGAACGAAGAAAACTGTTTCCACATAGTACTGGTCGATTTCGATGCTTTGGAAAAAAAAATCGAGATAATAAATTGATGAAATTCACTTTCGCTTTCTTGACAGGTCATTGCTACGAATAATTATCATTGTACGCCCTAATTTTCTATTGACTTTAGGTGAATTTGATTAGCTGATAGTTTGAGAATAATTTTCGAGTGGATGTGTACATTGTACGAGGGTATTTGAAGAGTTTGATGTTGAGTGTAGATTGAGAGGCCCAATGTACCGCAGGAAAGTCAGTACATGAACATTAGTGCGCGCGCGTGAAGTCAAGGCTAGTTGGCTTTACCAAGCCCCGGGTTGTGATAAGACAAAGGCTAACACTCCTCAAGGGCAGGCACGAGACTGAGCTTCAAGCTGACACGCCACACTTGGCATTATGTTAACACTGTCGTACCTAATTTTATCACCGACTAACTCTCAAGTACAGCAACGGATTCACCTCTAGTAAAAATTAAAAATTGCTCAACTTGTTTTTTTTTATCTTTGTCTATTTTGTATGTTTAAATTATTTGGCTCGAGAGTGGAAAAATGGGCTTAGCCGGTAACGAAAGATTAAAGCTTGAACCGGTGGGGATCAGAGGCAGATAAATCAGCGTCAGGACACGTGAGATATAAATCCTAGGCTCGAGTGCACTCGCGTGTTTCGATTGCATTCAAGAGGGAGAAATAATTTTTTATTTGCCTTTTTAAAGAGTGCAGTGTATGCAGTGAAATCGATTGCCATTGGATTTTAAAATGTATCTCACTCGCCATTATTCGCAGATTAGCTGGAGTTTATGCCGTCGACTTTCCTACGGTTTTCGCTTTCGCAGGGGATAGGTAGAAGGGGCCCTCTCCTCTTGGATTTACTCTTGTACAGAGAAGCCCTCGAGGCCCATTCGATAAATCAACTCTCGCCGTATATAAATCTACCGCTATTAGTCACTATCGCACCACTTACCCCCCAACTACTATCGCTGTGAAAATTATACATCCGTGACATTTGGCTTTCTCTTCTTTTCATGAAAATTCTGTTGAGTCAAATTTTTTTTATAAAAATTCAATAAATGACACTATTGTTCCGTTCTCATTCAAATAACACACAAAGGAAAATTGATAAATTTTGCCTCATATCTCAACAATATAATGATAAGATTTATGACTTGATAATGAGCGTAACAAAATAAAGTTATCAATAATTGCATGCGTCAGGATTCGGGCGAATTCTATCGCTCTCAGTCTTCCAGTAACTGATGATAAAACAAATTCCACTGCAAGTACCACCGATTCAAGAAACCCGGTTTCTCGTTATCCGACACCGCATCCTGATGATAATAATCATCATTCCATGAAATTCATGAATCAAAATTGTTTTTCTTTACATGGTGGAGTTGACTATTGCACTCATAAATAATCAAACCTGGTAATGTCTCAATTACTAATAAATTCCAATGGAAAAAAAAGGATTTAACGACTCAATTGAATAAACTTGCAACATTTTACAGGTTTGGCAGAGTGAAAGAAACGCGATAAATAGTGACGAATGGTTAAATGGCCTTTTCAGACTTTGTAAAATGATAAATAGCATAAAAATTGAAGGAGTTCCGGATAATATAATTTTTATGAGTTTTTTCAAAAGGTAAATGGGACCAATAAAAAAATGTAGCCAAATAGTTGTAATGTCGGCGGCGGGAGTAGATAAAGGGCCTGGTATATATGCCCCCCGTAGGGCCTCTCCCAGCAAATTGGCCATGAGTCCCAAGGTCGTCCGGTATCCCACGTCCGAGGGGCAGTGGCCCCTGTACGACCGCTGAAACGAGAAGAGCGACCACAAAGAGGCAACAAGGACAAGGAGTCAAGACATTCGACCATGGTGGAAGCCTTCCTGAGCTTCACGAGAAAAATAAAAAATTCGTGGAAACGAGCAGGCAGGGGAATATTGAAAGAAAGCCAAAATGGCCGGCTATTTGGGATACATCAATGGTGTTTCCATCGAGAGACGAGATATATATTTCTTCTTTCTACTGAACCTGATATGAACCGAGGGAGCATGATTGAAGACCCGTGAAACGAGTGGGATGGGGTAATAAACAGCTTTACGGCGAATAAAACGTTGCAGTGTTGACGATTACGCAATGTTTATTTTCACTTCCGCAAAATGCCAGTTGCATCACGTGAAATATTCAACCTCTTGATATTAATTCCATAATTCAATGATGTGTGAAGTTGAGAATTGTGGAGAATTAGGGGAAAAGAAGGAATAAGGTTGATATATAGAAGGGTTAACGGTTGTAGTTTGTCCGAGAGAGCCAAGGCCCTGTACCCTTGAAACGAAGGTTAACACCGAGGACACACTCTACCCTTCCAGTTAACTCTTTTCACTCCCCCTTTTTTTACCAGTGCTTTGTGCACTGAATTTCCAGCGAATGCCGCACGCGTCACTGTCATTGATTAAAGCTACTGTGGCAATTGAATTCTTCGCTTTATCTGCCATTGAGATTGATCGATTAAATTGATTGGATTATTTGGATTTTTTAAAGGTAACGACCGAGCGTACCTTTAAAATACCCAGGGATGGCTTTCATTGGGCTCTTGGATTTGTCCTTTTGTATGTTGGGGGAAAAGGAAAAACCAGTGTCACTCGAGTGTGTGAAGAAAGAGAGACGAGAAGGTCGACGATAAATCGACAGCTGCGTCCGGCGTTGAACAAAGGACGCCCAGTTCTCCGAGAGTTTCTCAGTACAATATTTTTCTTTTTTCTTTTACATTTTATCTCCTTTTTATTTTCTCTCTTTTTATTTCCTCTACGAGTTTGAGAACTCTGGGGGCTGAATGCCGATTGATAATGACGTCAACAAGCTGCAAGTAACGACTAAACGAAAAATCATGTTCAAAGGTCGAATTGATGGTTAATTGAATTGTTTCTAGTCGGTGCGCAGTTGAATGTGCAATGGTAAAAACAAGCGAATTAAATGGGGATAATTCATGGGCTTGAGTAGAGGTGACATACTGCACGTGTTTAGTAAAAAGTGCAAAACACGGTGGAAAGGGAAATAAACAACGTGAGGCGAGAGTGCTGCCGACCTCGGAAATTGATGAAACGTGTGACACGTGGTTTAAGTAACATTATAAGTGAACTTGAGAACAATTTTAATGGCCATTTTCCGAGAATAATTCCCCTATTAAATGAATCAAGATTCTAAAATACTAAAAATGCTAGTAAAAACACTGATCGGTCATTGGAAGGCGTTATTTTATTTTTACCGTCTACTCTCGTCAATTCCCGGACTTGAATTATGAAATTATTGTGAATAAATTGAAAATCAAAAATTACAATGAGTCATTAATGAATGACCATTGCGGAAAAGGTAAATTGTTATTCTCCTCTCTCTGCCCTTCCTCAAACAGTCGTTCAACCAGTCGTTGATAGTGGACTCCGCCAATTTCCTACATTCTAATTCTGTTGCCCAGGGATTCATGCCAAAAACATACGTTAATTTTAATTCTCCTAATTTTTTCAATGTCATTTACTCGGACATTATTTTTCCTCAATTTATCGACCCACCGGAACTAGAAAGGAGTGTTTATGACCCTCCAGTATGAATCACCAGGCATGTCTTTGCCCACTGGATTGAGCAGGAAACAGTGGACAAAGTGGTTGAAGAACACCCATTCAATTTATCATTGTCCATGTGCAGAATTCACAATTCATCTCAAGTGCATCATGATACCCCAATGATTAATTCACGTGATTTTTGCTATGTTATGCTGAGAATGAATAAAACCGCGATAACCTTATCTCCGTAAACGACAAACAAAGACACAATGAATTTTAACAATAAATTTAAAAAAATCCCGTCACCCCCTGGGCACAATTGAAAATGTCATCAGTTGCCTTGAAAGTATCCAGCTGTCGTCGGAATGTTAAAACTTTCGAATAGAATGCACCGCTTTTTAAACTCCACCACTCAAACATAAATCAGTCCAAGTGCATCGAGGAAGAAGGGATGAAAAATGATGAATAGTGGAGGAATGCAGCAGGCAAGGATTATAAGTTGGGGATTTTTGGGAGATTGTTGGGGTGGATGGAGGAGAAATGAAAATAATTTGTCGGGGTGGAGAGTCTGTACAAGTCTGTACGAGGCTGTAAGAGACTGTAAGAGGCTGTTGGGCCGTAAATAACGGGCTTGAGGTTACAAGGAGGTCGATCCGGGTTTGAATCGCGGCCGATAATAATTTTCGAAGCAATTGGAGAGCTCCAACGCCGTGGCGCACGAGCTTTAACGAGGCTACGCGGCTGGTTTTGCCTTCGTATACAACAACCGCCTCTGCCCCCACTGAGCTCAACTCATTCGCACTCGACCTTAATTGTCACTCATGGATTTAACTCCTCCATATCGTTTTATATTTTCGTCCCTCCCTAATTATTCATTAACCAACTTGGAGTCTATTTGAAGGTAGTGATTGTGTGAGGATTCAACATACCGCGCCAGCGCCATCCTGACATGAGACAGTCCAGCTGGTGGTGTCGTCAAGTTATCCAGATAGGCGACCAGAGTTTTGTTGTTAAATCCCACTGGACACATGCGCACGATTTGATAATGTTAATTTTTTAGTGGTCAACGAGCCTGTCATGTCCACCTTCTACTCACTATTCTCTCCAACCACTAACAACGAGAAGCTCATTTAGATTTATTCACACTCCAATCCGTCCGCCCAATTTTTAAACGCCTACAATTGATATTTGTTATTGATGATTAACTTAGCACTGGCACACTCACTTGGTTGATTGTGGTTTTATATTTAAAATCACAAAACTCGACAACTTTAATCCTTCTGGGATTTGTACAACTGTCTTCAGGTGGTGATGGTGTCGGTGATGATGGGCTTTATCAACTGATTAAGTACACGAGGTGGAGGCTGGGTGTCATTTGAAAACTCAATAGATGATAAAAGATGGAGAGGGTTTGGGTAATCTGGCGCTTGCAGCGAAGCGGCTCGGACGACTGTATGAATGACGAGTCTGAATTCCGACTCCGACTCCGACACCGACTCCGACCTCGGTAGTGGCACGACTGAGCCAACCGCGCAAAGTCTCACCGGTTACCCCCACTTGGAGCCAATAGGTGCTTCGGGGTGGGAGGTTCGGCCGTCATCGGCTGCTGTTGGCCAGTAGTGGGGTTGTCCTAGTACTACCGCCTGGCTTCGCCCGAGGGCTTCATTGCCCCCTTCCCCACAGTACCGCCAACTCCCTCTTCCCCTGGGCACCGAGGACCCTGAGCTATTGCCGCGCAGTCGTGTGCGACTGCGACCTCGTGGCCGCTACCACCACGAGATACCACTGGCTGCTGGGTAAATCACCCCCACACACCAAATGACAAACCAGCACTCCCCAAAGCACCCTTTGTTGCCCAACTTGGCTATTTTAACGTGGCATTTCACTTATTTTCCTCTCATTATCGCCGATTTTCAGATTAAAAATCAACACCCTTTTTCACGATATTGAAAAAAAAAGGAAATTCGTTTGCAATGAGTCCTGGTATTTATAGACTGGAATTGAGTAATTTATCGATCTTGATTATCTGATTATTTTGATGACACTGAGTCTGCTCCACTTGGCTCCATCAAACAATTACAGTTATATGTTATTATATTTAAGTAATCAGCAAAATGAGAATTAACGATGTTTCGTAAGTGGTTTGTAATATTTGGTGATAACTTTGGTGTAGTCAGTGAGGTAGAGAAAAGAAGTTTATTAATAAAGGACGGAAGCAGAGCATGTGGCCCGGGGCAAAAGGTCCCCTTGACCCCCTTTAACCGGTGGCCATGGGTTTAACTCGAAAAGCTCTTTCATCCTCAATCCCTTCTATTCGTTAATTCTCACCCATTTAACCGACTTTTTTTCCCGATTTAACGTCACTCGAGGTTGGATTATTTCTTTGGTTTTGGTAATAGGCTGAGACCTCTTGTGCAGCGTTAACTGGCAAGCACGTGCACTGGCACGTGCGGCTATCGTACGTATGCGCCGGTGCACTGAAAGCGAAGGGAGACACGTACACATGTATGTACTCACCAAGACAGTTCGCTCATCGTAAACAAGAAAAGTGTCGGCTCAGTGCAATCGTTTGTATTCGCCCAAAAAAAAAAATTATTTTATTGGTATTCATACCGAAAAAAAAAATTCCATTGACAATGTTCGCTTATTCAACGGCCTTTTCTCCTCTCTCATTTTCCAAATATCATAGAATTGAAAAGATTTTTCTGAGCAGTGAACACCTTCTGATATAACAACCCGTCTATTGGATTTTGACAGAGTCAAGTCGACGATAGAAATCAGGACGAATTTCTCTGGTTTTAGGTGTGATTTTTTTTTTTTTTTCGAGAGGAGAGACTCGGCGTGTAACTTTCTCAACTTCAGCGCCGGCTGTTCGAACTGAATTAATTCGTTGATTACATCAGAATTAAACTCGAGCTCTCACTAATATATTGTACGAAATACGGTGAATTGTCATTTGAAAGTTGGAACGCTTGGGTAGATAAAGTGTAAGAATGAGTGGATTGAGTACCGAAACTATTGGGGGATGTGGAGATGTTTACGAGTGGCGAAGGTTTTTTCAAAGTACTTGGGATGGAAATGAAAATGGCCCGAGCTCCACGGTCCAGCTGTCGCAGAGACATGTCCGCCATAGAAACTGGGGCGTGTAGTTCGGTAAACGATGAGTATTCCACAATTTTCGTGGAGTTTAATTGGAATTGCCCGTGGAAAAGTGGAAAGACAGGAGAAAAAAAAATACAACAGTGTTTGGATTTTTACGAGTGACTTGCAACACACTGAATGTTAATAACTGTTGCAGACAGTATATTACCTATTAATAAAACCACGAGCACTGTTACTCCACTGTTAACGAAAGGACAGTTAAAGAGTTCTTATGCACCTCTGTGTAGACATTTCCGTCGTCTCTGAGGAGGGTTACATTGCGAGTAAACGTTGATAAACATATACTATGACCAGTGAGCACTATTGCGCGCACACGTGCTTTCTAAAGCCTATTTACGCCCGGTGGTTGCACCAGAGACCGAATCGAAATGTCTGGCTGAGGAAGGGTGAATGTGCCAACCACTACCACCAGTATCAAACCGTCCCTTTCTTTTCAATACAACTTTTTCAACTCCCGACCTCTCTCACTCCTCCATAAACTCCCTTCCATTTTACCAACTCCACGGTATATTGCTGTAATACCGTAATTCAATGCAGTTGTGGCAAGACCATGGTTTAAGGCAATGGAAAGCAGTGAATTTCGAATTTAAAAAAAAAATGGTCTCGCCCACTGTTGGTCGACAATGCACCTTTCAAATTAATACAATATCGTGGAAAATGTTCATCATTTTTTCGATAAAAATAAAATAACGTCCGAAAAAATAAAATGAAATGCGAAATATTCACCGAATAAAGAGAATGAATGAGAATTGCCACGGGGCAAATGAGAGGAGCTTCCGTGAAGGTTTTTTTCGTAGCTGAGGGAGGAGATATCTCTGTGTCTGGCGTTGTGGTTTCGTGCTGGCGGCTTGCGACGAACTAATTCCAAACTACATACATCGTTGAGAGAGATAGTTGTTCGGGGGAGTTGAATCCGTGGGATGTAGAGAGTGCAGAGACAGACTGATACGTTTGTTCCCGCTTATTCCTTTTGAATATAGCCTTTCTCGATTCCTCGGGGCGTACTGCTTTCACCATTTTTATTTTCATGTGATATTTCCTCTATCGAAATTTCAAATAACCATCATGAAGCAGTTCCTCTAAATCCCGAGTCCCTCATTAATTGTGAAACAATTCATTTGAACATTTATTTATAGAAATGTATTTTTGTTTAATGATTTAGGGGAATTGTTGGAATTGTAGTGCAACTGGGAAGGATTTCTCGGTAACGATAGATGGAAGATTGAAGATGAGGGTGAGGGTGAGAGTGAGGGTGAGGGTGAGGGAGAGGGTGAGGGAGAGGGAGAGGGTGAGGGAGGGGAAGAGGGTGAGGGAGGGAATGGGAGGTAGGTAGAGGTGGATTGTGTTAGGGTGCGAGGTAGAGAGTGGAAATGGAGGGTTCAGACGGGGTCAGGTCACGGGACGAACGGCTCTGGCATACACCGAGTTCAGCTCTCTGGCTTGTGCCTGGTCGATAGCTCTCTTCTATACCTTTCTGCTCCCTCTCACCCTTATACAACTCACACTCATCCGTTTGTGTACGTACAGCCTCATACACTGAATACCCCACCAATTTCTAACTGCCAACGGGGAGAGATTTTTCTCCTTCCCCTCCCCTCGCGTTTCACATTTTTTCGCAACACCTAATCCCACACGAAAAATACATCGAAATGAAAAAAAAGGATTTCTCCGTGATTTTGTGAAAGGAAGAAATTCCGCACATTCTCCAACACCTTTTGTTGTTTATTCTTGGTTTGCGATTTTTTTTTTATATTTCGCGATGAGCTATCGAATCACTTGGAGTATTAGGAGGTGAACTATTATCCTCGTGATTCAATAGTCGCAATTCCCATGACAAGCATTTATTGTCGTTTGTGTGTTACAACAATTTGAGCAAATTAATGGGTAAAAGTATTCTCTTGGAGTCAACTGGCTTCATATGGGCAGAGGTCGGGGCATCATTATCGTTTTCGAGTGGTCATTGCAATTATCTCTGGATGAATTATCACCTCTTGTTGTGAACAATGGAGAAGGTACTCTCCTGTATTAATCGTTAATTTTTTCACTCCAATTTTCCATTTGAACCGATGAATTTGAGTGATGAAACACACATGTAAATCACGTAAAGATAAAAATAAAATGGCCTGGTACTTGATAAGTCGGATCGAAGCGTTGGGAATGCGATAAAAAAAAGTAATTATCGATAACGATACTTAGCGCATTAACAAATTACTTGTGTTGCTGTACAATTGAACGAAACGCTGACATTGTTGACGACCTGGCACAAATACCCGTAAATTTTTGGCACAGTTTGGTGGAGGCAGTGAAGAAGAAGAAATAAAACGGCGTCTCTCCCGTAGAAAATAATCGGGACAAGTGGATTTGAGTTGTGCTGTTAAATGTAGCTGATCACCAGGTGGGTGGGAATAAACCGGAGAATATTTCGGCTGGTTAAGTACATGATCTAGTCATAACGGTCACAATATAATAGGGTCAAAGTCAAGATGGAGGAGATCCGATACGGATTGCGCTCAACTCGGTCAAGGCAGAGGTACCTTGTGAGTGAATGTGCTTCATAGGACACTTAATAGCCAATGGAACTTGGGAAAAATGTCATCAGTCAACCGATGAATCTTCCTCGTCTCCCAAAAAACTCAAATCCACTGATCCCCCAAGGTGCTCTCTCATAAATTACATCACGCTTGACTTTTCATGACAACCCACTGATTTTGAAGAAATTCAGCCAACTCATTGGTGGTCCAACCCATCTTCGCCATTCAGGGAGATTTTTAGAGAGATATTTCGGTGTTAAAAAATCCTTCTACCGTCTCTAGGCCAAATTTGCCTCCAGAAATCGTTGTATGCTGGGTTATGCGGCCTTGGGGTATGCTTTTGGAGAGGAGTTTTGTCATGGGAAGCCTTCAGATTTCCTTGGGGACTCGAGCTCAACTCTCCCTCCAAGGCTGATGGCAATGTCACGAATTTCTTTGGATATAGATTGCCATAGGCTGAGACAGATGATGGGAGGGATGAATACTTGAATTATTGCCCGAGGAACCACCATCATTACTTCCTCATAGCTATTATTTTTTTCTCAGTAAACGTCTCCAATGCATCTCAAGGGTTGATACCTCTGGCTCATCGCCGATGGAGGAAAATTCAAAACACCCCAGGCGATTGATTCCATTGATTCCATTCACCGGCGACTGATGTGATTAATCAGTTATTTTTTTAACCAAGAAAAAAGGGGGGGGGAAAAAAAAAAGAAATGAGAGTCGATGGCATTTCGTTGCCGCCGGAGAATAAAAATTCCGAGGTTAACATTACCTTCCACTCGGCTAATGAAAATACCTATCATCCACCCACCCCCGGTGGGGTGGAATGTTTTACCATGCGGAAGCTCGCGTCTACACCAGATTCAACGCTTTAATCGCTTCTCTCAACAAACTATTCACCAGCAAGCCGCAAAGTTACGTAAATATTGGCAAAATCCAAAAACGATTTTGGTTTTGACAGTTAATCTTTGGAGTAGAGATTTATATTGAATGTAGTGAGTGAAGCTCCTTGATGGCGTA